CTCGCAAGGAGAGGACTGCACCAGGGAATGCGAGGGTGATGGGTGCAAAGGCCCCAGGGGCGGGGGGAGAGGTCTCCTGGGTCACAGGCTAGCTGGACTCGTCCCAGGTGACCAAGGTGGTGCTGTCATCAAAATCCCTGAGCATGCAGCAAGCTCCGCTCCCCAGAGAACGACGCAGGAGGCTGGGRCCCAGCAGCAGCTTGGGGACATGGAGCTGAGGGGAGAGGAGGGGCAGGTGCGATGCCCACAGCGCCCCCAGGCTCAGTGCTCAACCCGCTTCTACCAAAGAATTCAGAGATAATGTTCTGAGCAACCGTTTTCCAGTTCTGCCAAGGATGGCACTGGACGACTATCAGGGTGCGAGGGTGAGACGCCCGGTCCTGACACGCAGAGGAAGCCCCGGTGCTTCACCATCTCCTACCTGGAGAAGAGCTGGGGCTTCCAGAATCGGGGCTATTGGGAGACCCTGGGAAAAGCCTTCGGGAAAGGCGACTCCTGATCCTGATGGAAGATGACCAGAGCAGGCAGCACCAGGAAGCACAGAATCCCAAGTCCCAAGAAAGAACTTCTGCAGCACTGGGCCAAGGGATGCCTGGGCACCAGGCAGGTCCAGCCATCTTTCGGGTTTGGGGTTTCTGCATATTTGACCCCTAGTGGCTCTGCCCGTAACGCCCACATCATTCACGTGAGTGCGCACACACGCACACACACACACACACACACACACACACACACACACACACACATACACACACATACACACATACACTCAGGCCCATCATTGAGGGCAACCTGGCTGCAGGCCAGGAGGAGGCAATCCCAGACCCCGGCCTCCTTCCACAGCACCCTTGGGAACCGTCTGGCCCAGCCTGTCTGGGAGACCCAGGCGAGCTCCTCGTCCAAGGAGCGACCGTTCCGTGTGCAGCCAGCTCGGCACCCGCTCCCCAGGAGCCACCTAATGAAAACCTCCTGTGCAGACCTGGCGGGCGCACGCAGACTCAGGCTGATTTCAGCTGGGACTCGCGCCCAAGGTATGACCTCACCATCCGCCAAGCCGTATGGACGCCAGAAAGAGAAGGCTGGTGTGTGGGCCAGACCTGCCCTAATCAGGGCCAGCTGGGATGGAGGGAGGCACGGGGCCCCCTCCCCTGCCGTCCCGGATGGCGGGGTCTGTGGTTGGGAGGTGGGGTCATCTCACACTAAGAATCCTGAGTCCTGCCCCCCAAACACGCCTTTCCTCCTTCTTCCTCTCACCCTTTCTTTTCTTCTCTTTCTTTTTTTGGCATTATTCCCATAAAAATATCTGCCATTCCATATGTTCCATCCCTGAAAGAAACTTGATAGGCAGGACTGAGGCTCTGCACAAGACCCCAGTTACAGGAGGGAGAGGGAGGATATAATTAGATTCTAATATATTTTTTAAAAAACAGAACAGCTCAAAAGGACCCATTAAGAGAAGGACACTGTGAAACAGTCCGTCCCTTCACGCCAGTGCCAGGCTCCCAGAAGTGCCCCTTGCAGGCATTGCTCACAGAACACTCAAGCGTCACRCAGCAGCACGACGCCTCAGCCGCCACGTTCAGCAGACTCTGCTTCCACATGCACCAATCAGCCGCCAGCAGCTCCTGCTTCCTAATCCTGCATGATTTTCATAATCTGGTACTAAGTCTCTTGTAGGCACCAAAACAAAATGTGGAGGAAGCTGTGCTTTAAAAATAAATAAATGAGCTTTGGGTCACTGTGAAACAGCAGAAGACTTGGGATTTTAACAGAAATTCTCTACGAGGCTTGCAAGTTCTGCCTTCAGCATTATGGATAAATTGGTGAAACTTGAAATCTCTCAGATGGCATCCCAGACAGAGCCTGAGCCTGTGACCTGAGGAGCTCCTAAGATAGGCATCACAGGAGGTCCCATGGGACTGTAGAGGATTTGCAATGATGAAGAGATTCCCAGTGAGCTGGATCCCAGCTCACAGGGAATCTCTGCATCATTGCAAATCCTATAAAAAAAAAAAAAACTATACTTTCTATATTTTCAGGTACCCAAGTACAACCAGGGTCAAATAATATAAATGGAAAATTAAAGAAATAAAAAATGCATAAGTTTTAAACTGTACTATTCTGAGTAGTGAGATAACACCTCACACTATCCCCCTCTGCCTTGCCCAGGACATGAATTGCCCTTTGGTCCAAGGTATCCACAGTGTTTATGCTACCCTCCCATCACTTGGGGGACATCTTAGTTATCAGATGGACTTTCATGGCACTGCAGGGCATTAATCTCTCACTGTACCTAGTTTATGAACTAAACTTTATTGTGGGTATGCATGTAGAGGGAAACTCACAGCATTCATAGGGTCGGTATCATGCATAGTCCCAGGCATCCCATATGGGTCTTGGGACATATCCCCAGAGGATGAAGGGGGACAAGTGCTGCATACAGCACAAAGAACAAGAGGGTCTTGGCTGGAGACCCTTAAATCTCAGAGAACTGATTCCCCCACAATAGCCCTGCTCATTGTTACGGAAGTTGCTTATCAATTCCATTTGCATGTAGCCCATTGGGTGAGGAAAATGAAAAGCACCCAATCTTCTTAGCTCCATAAACAGAGGCACAGGTTAAGATCTCTACTGTTTTAAGGAGGAAAGTTTTTCTGCAGACGTATCCCTGAAATGATGATGGAAGTCAGTGGGAGATTTCACTATAAAATATGGGCTTCTCTCCAGCCCTGCAGAGCCATCTCTAAAGCACAAAGAAAGGCCACGTCAGGCCTGCAAAGAGAGAGAGTCACAATCCCTCAGAGCCCGGAGGGCCAGCCGGGAGGACCACCCAGGAGGGCCAGCGGGGCCTGCGCATTGATKGATAACCTGACACAGCATCTCCGTGACTTTGACAGAGGAGAAACAGCCTCAGAACACCTGCAAGTTGGCCCTGGGCTTCACTCAGTCACCGTCCAGTCGATCTCGTTGTCCCACCCCCCACAAGTCCAGCAAGAAACCAGGAGGAAGCCACGCTCTTCTCTAGTCTGCAGGCCAAGCTGACGTCTCTACCTTGGCCTCGATCTGGTCCCCCAAGAGACACGCTGGCCCTCTCCTTGGGTCCCCGTCATCTGGCCCACAAGTCACTCTCTGCCCCAGGGCGCGGAAGGGCCACCGCTCTGGACCCTCTGTGTGGATCCAGGCTGGTCTTTGGAGGAGGAGGTTGTGTCAGGCTGACTCAACAGAGGGCCCCGCCCTGGACCTTCTGCAGAGGCCGCGGTACCTGCCAGGAGGCTGACAACTTCAGGGCAAGAAAGAATCTTTTTTTTTTTTTTCCTGGTGGCTTTTATTTCAGTAACTTTTTCTATCATAAAATCAATAAATGTTTGTTATTAGGAAATAGGAATAGAGAAAAACAAAAACATAAGTAGGTCCACAATTTTATATGGAGACATAACTGGATACATCCAAATCATTTTTCTTATGGATATAATTATTTTTAAACACAGGGTATGAGCCCTGGCACACCCATATCTAACAACTTACTAATGATAAGTTTCAGTAGCATTAAATATTATAAAATAACTATAGAGAGATGTACATAAACGACTTAATTACCAATTGTTTTCATTACCTTAAATGTAACTCATACATCACTATGAGGAACAAAGTTGCTATAAACACACACATAATCTTGATCCACATTTCTGACTATTTCTTTGATATAAATTCTCAAAATAGAAAGGCTGAGGCACAGTTTTTATATCTACATGTCTATTTTTTTTTCTCCTTTTGGCTTGTTCTTTTAGTTAGCATGACCGTGGAGTGTATCTTGCACACTGTACACACGTGGAGCAGAACATCCCCTTTCTGTGGTCTTATGTGATGGGCAGCTACAATGGTCGTGTATGCAAGATGGATGATGCAGTCACCTCTTGGCCATTTTATTCCATCACTTTATTGTTTAAATTTGTGTTGATTCTTTGATAGGGACTTTGACACATCGGCCCCAGAATGTGGATGGCCAGTGGGGCTGGTTCACAAGGACACTGCCCAAGGAACCAGGCTAGGCGCATCCCCTGAGGCAGCTGATACCTGACCAAGGACGGGCTGCACAAGTCTTAGGGCCGTGTTGCCTGCCACACAGCCACACACGCTCCAACCCACAGCCCTGTGAGGTATGGAGAGGGACGGGACTCTCCCTGTTCAGCAGAAGGGAAACTGAGTCAGAGCTAGAACCCCCACGGCCTCTGTTTCAGAGGCCTCCTGCCGATTCCCCTTCCTCCAGGAAGCCTCCCTGACTCTCCCCAGACGACCACAGCATTCTGCAGCGAGACCCTTCCCCAGTGATGTCCTAAGTAGAGACCCCACACGTCAGACGGACATAAAAGAGGTTTCCATTGCCGTACGATGGACTGTGCTTTGGCCACAAAAGGAAGCACAGCGTCTGCCTGGCCAGGGATGAGTCAGGAAGCCCCGGGCCAGGGGAGAGGAGCCGGGCTCAGCGGCCACGGCCGTGTTTCCTGCTCAAACGGAAGATCTGGTCCCGGCAGACCCAGAGGCAAGACAGAGACTCGGGGTGCTGGGCCTGTGGGTGGAGGGCTTGGGAGGTCTGGCTAGGGGGTGCGGGGTTTCTCTCAGGGGTGACAGCAAGGTCCTGAACTTGACCGAGCACCAGCTGCACAAATCCCTGAGTTGACTAAGAGCCACAGGGTCCTGTGCTTTACACGGGAGTATTTCATGGGATGCAAATTCTCTTTCCATAGAGCTGTTTTTGCAAAGAAAGGGAAAGGAAAGGGGGTGGAAAGGCCACGTCCAGGCTCCCTCCTCCAGCCTCCTGCAGCAGCCAGAACCACCTCTGCAGGCCCTGGGCCCCTGGGATTGGTGGAAGCCGTGACCTCGTCCAAGCCCCCACTCCTCGGCTAGGAGCCCAGACGGGACCCTGAGTCCCTGGCTGCAAGCTGCAAGCCCGTGGTGGGAGCCTTGGCCAGCTGAGGAGCGGGAGCTGTCCGCAATCTTACCATCCATGTCCAGGCGCTGCATGATGATGGCCAGCTCCACCTCGCTCGGCATGTACCCCAGGGAGCGCATGGCCATGCCCAGCTCCTGCTTGGAGATGAAGCCGTTGCCATCTCGGTCCAGCACTCGGAAGGCCTCTCGGATTTCTGAAAGGAAAAGCAAGAGTCCTGTGGTCACACGGCGGGGTTCACGACAGGGGGACCAGAAATGGCTGTCCCTGGGGGTGATCCATAGACACCCCTCAACAGATAAAGAGCACCAAGAAGAAAAGAAAACGACTGGAGAAGGAGGGAGAAAGAAAAGGAAGGAAAGAGAATGGAGGGAAAAGAAGAAAGAAAGAGGGAGGCCCTGCATTTCCTAAAACCCTGGGYGGCACAACCGGGCTGCGTTCTGGCAACCAGGCCACCCGGGGTGCTTCTGAGCATGCAGAGGGTCACGTTCCAGCAGCCTGAGAAGACTTAAGTCCTCAGCCCCAGGAGGAAGGAGATTGAGTTTCCCTCTGCAGACATATTTCAGGTCCCTGCTGCTTCAGGAGCCACACAGAAGCTTTCCGACCTCTGAGGAGGGCTGGAGTTAAGAACCCTGCTGCTTTTATTTCACTCKCTAATTTACAGTTGTTTTATGGCTATAAACAACCTCAGATCAATAAGAGTGTCAGGAAAGCTCAGAAAGCATTTTTAATCACTTTCCCCCCGGGGCTGGCAGAGAACTTGACTCTGCTATCAGCCAGGCCCTTGCACTCAGCCGGTGATCCTCCCGACCCTTTAACCCCAACCAGAGCTGCTCTGAATTCCACCCGCACCATCCTCCAGCGTCCACGGCGGCGGGTTCAGGGTTGGCCGAGCATTTCCAGCACAGAGCAACCCTGCGAGGCCAGCCTGGGGAATCTGAGATTTCAGAAGACAATTGCATCTTCCATCRCTGCTGGGTCCACCAGACCTAGCGCAGGCTGGACGTGAACCCCCTGCCAGCCCAGGAGTGGCAGCTGCCCACATCGGTTGGGCCACGTCAAGCTGTCACATGAGGAGCATGGTCCTAAGTGCCACAGAGAAATAAAAACAATCCACAGGTCATCACGGCTCTCCCGCTTGGCCCAGCCAGGGTGGCAAGAGGCACAGGGAACTCACTGTCACTCTTGAGGTCACACGGACACTCGGCCCTAACCTGCTGGCTGACTGTCCAGCAGATACCCTCCCCTGGACAGCCTTCCCCAGACAGGCTCGGGCTTGTCTTCGTAACTACTACCCCGTGGCTTCAGGGACAGATTAAATCCACAGAAGTCTGTTCCCTAGCAGTCACACTAGACCACAATCGAGGTGTCGGCCGAGGTGGGCTCTTCGGGGGCTCTGGGGAGATCACTCTCTGCTCTCCAGCTCCAGCGACCACCAGTGGTCCTTGGCTTGCAGTCACTGCACTGTCACCTCCATCTTCCTCTGCCTCCCTCTTATAGGAACATGCGCATCTAGGGACCGTAATGGCTTGGATCTGAGGTGTCTCCAAAAGCTCGCGTGAGACAACACAGGAGTGTTCAGAGGTGAAATGTTTCCATCGTGAGACCTGTGGCCTGTTCAGGGCATTAGTCCACCTGAATGGTGACCTGGGCAGTAACTCCAGCAGGGAGGGTRTGGCTGGGGGAAGCAGATCTGGGGGCTGCCCTGGGTTTGCAGCTTGTCCCTGGCACCTTGCTCTCTCTCCCTCTCTCTTCTTCCCTCCACCACATGCTCCCTCCAGGAGGATCTGCCTCACCTCGGGCCAAGAGCACTGGAGTCAGCCAACCACAGACTGAACCTCTGAAACCATGAACCCAAACTAACTTCCTTCTGTCAGTTGTTCTATCAAGTACTGCGGTCATGGCAATGCGCAGCGGACACRGGTACCATGTCCCCATCCCAGATCCTTAACTTAATCGTGTCTTGAGAGACCTCTTTCCAAGAGATCATTTACAGATTCCAGGGACAAGTCCTGGTGCCCTTGAGACTGCTGTGCGATCCCTCCCCGCCCTCCCACGGGATATGACTGCACCCCCTTTCTTTGCCAAAATCATATCCACTCTTCAAGGCCACGTGAAGGGCCAGGTCTCCATAGAATACCTTTGCTCAAGACAGCCCCCCTCTCTCCGGCTCACTCCGTCCCCATGGCCCTTCTGAAGACACGGTGACTGTGCGATGTGTTATCAACTACCAATACTAATTCAGCTCTGTGAAGACCTGGGCTCCAGGGGAGAGACCAGCCTGGAGCCAGGACCCTCGGCTTCTGGCCGGGCCCCGTGGCTAATTAAGTCTGCAGCCAAACCCGGAGGCCCCGGCTGCTCCTGTGTAAAGTGAGCCAGGCTGGCTGCAAGGATCCTTTAAGTCCTACCAGCCCTCCCTGCTGTGGATCTGTGGACACTGTTACAGTGTTCAAAAGAAGAACAGGAAACTGTTCTCCAACATATGCTGTTAATCTGCTTGTCAAAACATCACCCCTTCCTTTCATTGACAGAATAAAATTATTTCCTGCAGCCCAAAGTCTGAAGGGAGAAGTCTGTCTGCACCTGTCAGCTTCCTCCATCAACCGTCCTGCCCAAGAGGACCTAGGGCAGCCTGTCTTCTCCACACAGTCCTGGGAGTCCTCAGGAAAGCAGGCACATGCACTCAAGGACACAGGATCCCACAGTCTCATGCAGCCCGAGGCCAGAGCCAGACACCCAGGATGGTGGTGTGGAGAGGAGAGTCTCCCAAAGGGCCACAAGAATGCTGGTCCCTGCTCTGCCCAGCGACCAGGGCAGCTTCCCTCAACCTCAATCTCCCCATCTGAAGAATGGGTGAGGGTTGAGCTCATTCCAGCCTCGATGGTAAGGCTTTACCTTGGGGCCAGGATGGGCCACACCACAGGAGAAAACAACAGTTACGACCCACAGTGAGGGTCATGGGTGGCCAGCAGCAGGCTGGGCCCTGCCCTTCCTTCTCTGGACAGCTCCTCCCGGGACATCATCTCCACGTCCCTCCTACACTCTCTGGGCTGCTGATGTCACCATGCCAGATGGTTCCCTGCTGTTGACACAGCCCCGTCTTGTTCTCAAGGTCTCCCTGCACATCCCAGACCTTCCCATGAACTTACACTGGACACCCCAGAGGGCCTGGAGGTGGGGTGAAAGCATGAATGGAAATGAGGATGCCAGCAGCTGTGCCTCCTGTCCCCCACTGAGCTGTCCTGGATGCCACCAGACCTTCCCTTGGGCTACAGGATTGGGCCATCAAGCAAGGATGGGGTATGGGTGGGGGTCACTCCGGGACTGCCCACTGGGAAGGGCCTGTTCCCTCAGGGCCTCGAATTCCCAGTTGGCTGTCTGCAGGAAGTGCGCAGCCAGCCCTGCAGCCCAGCATGGCCAGAGCAGCCAGCTATCAGCCCAGGTGCTCTCCCCCGTGGTCTGCAGGTAAGTAGGTCACAGCTGTCCTCCGTGTACATAGAATATCTGCTCCTGGCCCCCAGGTAGAGAGGGAGCAGGCAGAGAAGGGGGAAACAGGGTAAGAAACTGGAAATCCAGAGTGGACGCCCTGGAGATTCCATCTTTCTGGGTAAGGGAAACTCAGATCGACCAGGGGCTTTATTGGAAGGAAATGAGTCTCGCAGTCTGGGAGAGGCGTGGGATTCGTGCCTCGTTTTATTTTTAATAGCAGAACAGGGTGTGAGAACGACGCCATAAAACCAGCGGAGATGGTGGGGCAGGCGGGATGTCTGCTGGGCAGCAGGCTGGATGTCTGCTGGGCAGCAGGCGAGGTGTCTGCTGGGCTGCAGGCGTGGCTGGCAGCACCGGCGGGCCCTGGCCACCTTCCATCCTTGGAAAGAGGGGCCCACAGATCCTGCAAGCAGAAATGGGTTGGCCATGCTGCGAGGTGTTCACAGGATTCGTCTCCTGGGGGCTGAGGACCCTGGAGGGCAAGCCGTGCTCTGGGTCTTCTGTTCCACTTCGCTTCTCGACCTCACACAACACGAGGGGCACCAGGAGCACACTCTTGCCACCACCCCCAAGAGGGGCACCAGGAGCACACTCTTGCCACCACCCCCAAGACACCCGTGAACCAGAGGAGGCCTGTCTTGGTGACAGCAGCCATCCGACTGTCCCTGTATGGAGTGTGGGAGAGACATGGGAAGATGCATCTCCAGAAGGAAGAATCTAGTCACTGCTTATGGAACCTTCCAGAATCAAAGTCTGCTTTCCCATGGGGACCTGGACCTCTCCTCCTGGAGCCATGTGCAAGGCCCTGAGGCCAGCAAGGCCGCAGAGAGCAAAGGTCCTGTTCCGGAGCCCAGGGGGTTTACTTCTCATTTTGCTGGTTACCCCTTTTCTCTTAAAACACATGCATGTCCGCCACACATACTATTTGCCTTCTGAGACTCCAGCCTCGGCCGCACGAGCCTTCCTAAGGACACAGCTGATTCAGGCAGGGACAATGACAAGGACACCTGCCTTGGAGAGCAAGACCCATTTCTCAGAGGAGGTCCAGACACCAGCCAGTCAATGTTAGTCGACCAACATTTAGGCTTTGAAGAACCAGCCAACATTTACAGCACTAATTCCCAGCCTCAACTCAGTAACAGCAGTTTTTCTGAGCTCCACCCCGTAGATGCAAAACCCATTATTCTCCACGGAAGTGTGTCTGCAGGAAGAAGGGGGGGCTCCGAGCACGTTAACTAATAGCTCTATTAACAGACGCCTGGCTCTGTGGACACACATCAYGGAGGACTTGTGGACGTGGACACGGCTGCAGCTCAGCGAGGCTGGGATGGTTAATTACTAAACCACAGAGTGCGGGACACCAACCCCAAGGCCTGCACTCAGGAGACTGTGCATTAGGTGGGACTGAGACGACAACAAGAGAAACGGGAAAGGTTTCCACCTCCTCTAAGAAAGGCAAAGAAAGAAGAATATTTGAAGATGATTAATACAACCGCTCATCCAGCCGACATTTACAGCACTAATTCCCAGCCTCAACTCAGTAACGAAGAACAGCAGTTTTTCTGAGCTCCACCCCGTAGATGCAAAACCCATCTAATAAGCTGCTGTTTGCTTATTATCATAGGCCAGGTGCTACGCTAGAAAGCTCACAGAAGCACTTCCCAGGCTGCGAGAACCCAGTATCCTGGTTGGAGAGACGGAGAGGTG